GATTTTGGCTCAGGTCATGATCTCATGGTTCATGGAATTGAGTCCCGCATCAGGCTCTGTGCTGACAATGTGGAGCCTGCTTGGGATTCTCTCTCTCTGCCCCTCTCCTGCTCACTCTCTCTCTCAAAATAAATAAATAAAATTTAAAAAATAAAGATAAATAAAATTACAGTATGTAAACTTACTCCTTATTTCTTGGAAATCGATTACTAGTCCTAAATAGAAACCATTTACCTATAGTAGATTGTTAAAACAAAAACAAATTAATTTCTAGTTGAGGATCTCCAACTAGAAAAGAGGAGAGTTCAACTGGTGTCACAATGAGCAGTTACCCCACAGAGGAAGCTCCATGATCTTAGAACTTTTTCCCCTTGGTCCAAATGGCTTGAAGCAGCAGTCTGGAACAGATTTTCCTTCTTTAGCTATTGTATTAGGGCTCTCAGAAAGGGTGGGAAAAAAACAAGAACCAAAACAGCTGTATCTAAACCAATTACTGATGAGATCCTGGTAACACTGATAAGAAATGACATGAGTTGGTGAAAGGTATAGTAATCGGCTCTGAATAAAAATGAGCCGGCCTTTAATTGCTTAAGAGTAACTTCTGGGGCAATCCTAAAATACGAACATTTTGGGATAAATTACTCATAAACTAAATTACTATTAAAAATAAAAGTGATCACGTTTTTTTTTTTTATTTTGGGGAGGGGTTAGTTTTCACATTAGTCCTAACAGTTCTTTTAAATGTAATTTAAACTATATTAATAGGAATTAGTATAGTTTAGCCATATATGGCATAGGCTGGTGCAAGACTCCCTGGGTTAGCCCCTCAGCTCCGTCAATTGCTGGCTATGTCAACAATGGGCAAGTCACAATCTCTCTAAACCTCAGTTTCCCCATCTGTAAAATGGGAATAGTAACAGTATGCTTACCACACCTGGTTATTGTTAGGGTTAAATGAGTAAGTGGAGAACTTGGCACTTGACTGGCACTATATGTATTAGCTACTAAAGCCTGGCACCCATTGTAGATGAGAACATCTATCCCTCAACAAATTTGGCTATTTGTTACATGCCATGAATTACATTAGAGAAACAAACGTATGCAAGATAGACATAGATTTTATAAGATGAAGCGAAGTCTGAGCAGAGATCAGAAGGGTGAGTATAGTAATTTAGCCAGGCAAAGTATGGACAGACTGCTCCAGGCATAGGGAACCATACATAAGTAGGACGGTCTAAACTTGAGAGAAAACATTCCATGGAAAACTGTCATAGTGAGGGAGGGGGACAGCTATGGAATGAAGACAGTGGTTCCAACTCCTTGCATATAATACAAAACAGAACTTCACTTTAATGGTAAAATTTGCTCATTCACGACCAGGAGTATTCCTAAATACCAGTGGATGAAGTCACAATATAAACGTATCTTACCAGTATTTTCTTAAAAAGAAAATCTAGCTATATATTTTTTGCCTATTGTATAAATAGACCTTTCCAGAACAGACCTTCAACCCATTAAAGTTCCACATCTGTTGTTAATATTTTCACACTGATTCAGTGAAGTTAGTAGGATTTTCAAAGTTGAATGGTGAGGAATTAAATAGCAATGTAAGGGATCAGGGATTTGAGAAAATAAAACATTTGTCAAAAATTTTTGCCAATATTGATATGTGATCTTTTAAAATATGCACTAAAATTCAAGCAGTATAACTATATTTACCAGAAAGAAAGGAAGAAAGAATAAAATTTGTGTGCCAAATTGTATCACCTTAGTATAGCCACTTTGCTTCTATAGTCTCCTTTATGTTTATTTTTACCCTAAAGATTATTTCCTCTCCAAATTACTCATTTAAATGAAATATATTTTTTATATTTAGCTCTAAGGAGGTTAGTTTAGGACAGTGTGCATATGTATATATGACAACAATTACTTCTAGGACCCATGTGAACTCTGAAATACACACAAAGTACAGCTGTCACTCTATTACCCTCCTTTTTTTGGACCCTTCTCCAATCAAACACTTCCTCACTCTTCCACCATTAGTAACACTAATGCCAAGTTATCCCCACAACACCCAAAGCCCTCTAATCCTACTAGATCTTAGGAAGATTTTGAATTAGACTTGATTCAAATGTCAATCTGAATGCTTAAAAACAGTATGGCCTAGATTTCATTTTTTAAACCCTTTCAGTGCCAGTGTTCTTATTTGTAAAATGGAACACAAGCTATAAACAAGGGAGGGAGCACCGCACAGCATTTAATTACACAGGCTCTTGGAGGAAGCCTGTATGAGTACAAATTCTAGTTCCACCATTTTATAGCTAAAACACATTGAGCCAGATATGTTCCATCTCTGTACCTCGGTTTCTTCATTTGCCTCAGAGAGAAGGTAACAGTGAAAGGTGGAGAATTATTATGAAGACTGACTGAGATAATATACATAAGGCATCTGGAAGAATGTCTGGTTCATGGAATACTCAATATATGATGGGTATTATTACTTCGTATATCTATTTTATACCTTTATAACATAATTGTGTCAGGAGTCCCCAAGACCACCCTCACATTTGATCATTTGTTGGAAGGACTTAGAACTCAGAAAAGCTATTGTACTCATGGTTACAGTTTATTACAGTGAAAGGACACAGATTAAAATCACCATAGGCTTCTCCCAGAGGAGTTCCATTATGACATATGAAGTATTGCCTACTAGGAAAGCTCTCTCATTCCTTGATGTCAAGAGTTTTTATTGGAAAAAAACATGTATGCCTGGACCTTCCACATGGACCACCTTAGCTACTCAGCCTCTAGCCTCCTATAGAGGACAAACCAAACAGTATAGCCCAGGGCTTCAGGTGAACAAACACAGGTACTCACTGCAAATCACATTTCTAGAAAAAACCATCTAGTTTGGTCCAAGGCCCCAACCAGACAAATATCCCTATGAGACAGGGTATTCCAAGACCTAACGGGTTATCTCCCAGGAACCAGTGTAGGACTGGTTCCAGGTTTGAAACACCTCAAGCCTACTGAGTTAACCCTTCACTGCATACTAATTTATTAAACGACTACCATGTGCAAGGAACTGTGATAAATACTTAGTATATATTAGCTAGCTTAATAAACACTTTTATGAGAAAGGAATTAATATTTCCATTTACAGATATGGAAACTGAAACTCAGGAAGGTTATATCAGTTCATGGTCATATAACTAGTGTGGAATCCAAACCCAGCTCTCCCAGACGGCAGAGCCTTTGCGACTTACATTAAGGCATAAAATATTTTAAAGTTAAAATACCATATTGTACAATTTATCACATATATAGGCACACAATAAATATATTTGTCAATCAAATCCAGTTCTTCTACTTGTGATAGTGAAAAACTAAAGAATCATTTTGAATTTGTGGAAGGAACAAACTAAAGCTATGAGCAAATGTATATGTACCATAGACTAGTGTTCCTTTGAAATACTGAAGCTTTAAATGTCCATCAACTGATGAATGGATAAAGAAACTGTGGTTTATATACACAATGGAATACTACTTGGCAATGAGAAAGAATGAAATATGGTCTTTTGTAGCAATGTGCATAGAACTGGAGAGCGTAATACTAAGTGAAATAAGTCATACAGAGAAAGACAGATACCATATGTTTTCACTTTCATGTGGATCCTGAGAAACTTAACAGAAGACCATGGGGGAGGGGAAGGGAAAAAAAAAAAAAAAAGAGAGGGAGAGAGCCATACCATAAGAGACTCTTAAAAACTAAGAACTGAGTGTCGATGGGGGGTGGGATGGAGGGAGGGCAGGTAATGGGTACTGAGGAGGGCACCTGTTGGGATGAGCACTGGGTGTTGTATGGAAACCAATTTGAGAATAAACTTCATATTAAAAAAAATAAATACTGAGGTTTTAAAGAAAAATTTTTTAATGTTTGTTTATTTTTGAGAGAGAAAGACAGAGCCTGAGCAGGGGAGGGGCAGAGAGAGAGGGAGACACAGAATATGAAGCAGGCTCCAGGCTCTGAGTTCTCAGCATAGGGCCCGATGCAGGGCTCAAACTCACGAACCATGAGATCAGGACCTGAGCCAAAGTCACACGTTTAACCGACTGAGCCACCCAAGTGCTCCTGAAATACTGAGTTTTTATTAAAAGACTATCTCATCTTAACAAAGTCCAATAAATTCAGCAATAAAGATTTCCTTAGAGTAAAAAGAACAACTTCTTTAAGCTTAAGCATTTTCTTTTTTCCTTACCCTTCGAAACTTTTTAATCTCCACAAACATTTGCTGAAATAGAGAAATGACTTACCCATCTATTAAGAATAACATAATTTTTTGTTGCAGAATTGTATCACCATTTTCCCCAGGGAGGCAACAATGCTTTTTCACTTTAATATGTGTGTGGTTTTTTTCCTCATCTAATCAGCTAATACTTTTCAAAAGATCTTTTTAATGCCTAAATGAAAGGATTCCACATCAAAGACCTGACCTCCCTATTAAAGTATCTAAAGGAAACCCTAGGAATCTAAAATCCATTCAAAGGCAAATCACAGGTAGCTTATTGTACAATGCATTAAGAAAAGAAAAGGAAAATAAGAAGCTTCATAAGAGCTTCACGGAATTTGGTAAAATTATACCACAAAATACAAATTGATCTCAAGTATAAAGAAACAAATTCATAGCCAAAAACGTATTACAAAAGTGCTCTGTAATCAGCCAGGAGGGGAGTCTTTATGAGAAACTTCAGAATTTGTCATATTTTCAATCAAAATTTCTGATTACAGCTTAACATTGGGAAGGCCAAAAAGAGAACAAACCACATATTTTTCAATAGATTTAAAATCTGAAATTTTTAAAGCTAACTTTCAACATGGGGAAAGGTAGGTTTTATTACCAACAGCAATACTCGAATAAAGTAACGAAATGAAAGTAAAAACTGATGAGATGTATAGACACAAATACTTTCTTAAAAAAAAATTAAACATTTTAACATACCATGAATGTGGTTCTGAAGTTATTCAAGTCATTAAAAAAGTCTTCCACAGACACCTTCTTCACATCAATGGCGTAGTATCCCATCACACTCTGGTATAACGTTTCCATGTTTTCGTGTAACTTTAAAAGTTTCCCGTATTGTTCTTTTGCACTGATAACAAAGCTGTATCTTAGAGTTAAGGGATTCTGAAATTTACCAAGTAATGTTTTAGGAAAAAAAAATACCCTGTGAATCCAATGTTTGAATTATTAGTCACTATTACACATCTCCAAAATGCTAAAATTACCTCTAACAGGTCATTGTTCTCAAAACTCAATCTATCCTGTACGACAGTAAAATCTTAACACCAATCTCTAATTAACTCTGGCCAAATTATCAGAAAAGTTAAATATTTATTTTTTTTATATTTCTTTTTGACAATTGAGTCCATGGAAATTATACTTCCAGTGTATGTATGTACGTTATTCACATCATTCAATATGATTCAAATTATAGCTCAGTGTCTAATATTGAGTAATTTCAATGATATTGAAATCAACCACATGGGTGCTGAACACAGCAGTTAAACTGGATGCCCGATGTCAATTTCCAGCTCCCGCACTTGGTGGTTGCCTGTGGGCACATGCCTTAATCTCTCTGGGCTAGGACTTCCTCATCTGTAAAATGGGAATAAGAATATCATCCATTTCACAGGGCTGCTGTGAGGATTAAACACGTTAATAATTCAAAATTCTTAGAAAAATGAATAGCATTTTGTAGTACATGTAAATCCCTTTTATTTTTATTGCATTTTGGGTTATATATGTGGTTCTAAAGTCCATCAAAAAATAAATTAAGAGTTACATTAATGGGGTGCCTTGGTGGCGCAGTCGGTTAAGCGCCCGACTTCAGCCGAATCACGATCTACCGGCTCATGAAACCAGTGTAGTTCGAGAACCCCAGCGTTCCGGAGCTCTGTTGGCCGATGACTCAGAGCCTGGAGCCTGTTGAATTTCTATGTCTCCCTCTCTCTGACTACCCTCCCGTTCACGTACTCTGTCTCTCTCTGTCTCAAAAATAAATAAACGTTAAAAAAAAAAAAAAAAAAAACTTCAAATATTACAGAACTTCATGTTTTAAATTCTCCTTTGGAAAACTGGGAAGTGATTTATTTTATGCATTGCATCATCTAAAATTATGATCTGGCACATACACATACAGAAATATTCTCTTCTCATTTATGACAACACAGTTCAAAACACACTGATTTTCAGAAGACTAACAGTGTGAATGTTGCAGTGGCATTAGAAAACATTTTCTAAACAAACCATAGAATTTCCTTTGTGGTTTGACAAATTGCTAATGCAGTTAGATATACCATACTTCATCCTGAAAAGATGACTCTGTTAGAGCATCATTCATAATTGTCTATGGCTCCTTTAAACTGGGACATTTAAAGAAATGGAATATACAGAACTAAGCTTATCCAAGCCATTTTATTGTCTCTGACTAATGCAAAAAAATAAAGATGTTAGTATATTTTTAAATTTTTAAATATTTGTTTAGTTATCTGTTTTTGGGGGGAGAGGCAGAGAGAGGGAGAGAAAAAAATCCCAACCAGGCTCTGCACTGTCTGCACAGAGCCTGATGTAGGGCTTGATCCCACAAAGTGTGGGATCATGAGCTGAGCCGAAATCAAGAGTCGGACACTCAACCAACTGAGCCACCCAGGCGCCCCAGTATACATATATTTTTTTAAAGTCAGTAATAAGAATAACTAGATTCTTGCCAAGAAAACCAAAAAAGGAATTTTTATAACCAAAAAAAAAAAAAAAAAAAAAAAAAAAAAAAAGATTTTCCACAATTTTGAAAGATAACGGTTCCTCTGGTCAGAGTATTCCCCAATGGAAGATAAAATAAGGAAACCGAACTCGGCCTTTCATTTTGAGAAAGGAAGACTGAGAAAGAAAGAGGCAGCATTGCTGTTAGATGGGTGGTGAAATCCAGGGGGGCATGGAAATTTTCTAATAATTAGAGCCCAACCTCCCCCAAAAAGGCATTCCAGTCCATCACGGCTCACTTGTACCCATGTCTGGGGTCAGTCCACAGATTACTTACTGCCCTTCTATGCTGGTTATTTCTCCCTCTCTGCACCCCCCAGACTATGCCCTGCTTACTTTTATATTTAGCATTTTAGGGGAAAAAAAGAGTATACTAAATATAGGAGTCTGGATTCTAATGGAAGGGTTGATACTTTTTTTAAATAACCTTAAGAAAATCTATAGACCTTTCTGTAGTCCAGTTTATATTCATCTGAGTAGCAAAATGCCTCCTTATATTTCCTAGAATCTGGATCATAATAGCAGCAGTGGCTGATGAATTTATATGTAGTATCATTTTTTAATGCTTGCATAAACAAAAGATTTTCTGTAATTACTCAAATCACAAAATCACAGGAAATTATAATACAGTCACACTTGACAGATTTCCATACACTTTGTCTTATGAAATATCCATATTCATGAAATATTATAAAGCAAATGTATGTAAATTAAAAAATCACGTTTGAAACACATTCAGAAACTAATATTAAATGGACCATATGGTGATTCATTTGTAATGTGAAATAATCAGTCCTTCATTTATATAGTAAGGTCAGAAATCAACATTGGTTTATCTATTCAATCTATAAACTTTCACCTAAAATTATTTATGTCCCAGAGACAGACTATCTCCATATGGATTATTTATACATCCTTAACTCTTGTCTAAAAGAGAAATTGTTTTCTGCCTTTGCTCGCCCAAACCTATCATTCAAAGGTTCCTTCAATTATTCCTCTTCCACAAAGCCTTATTTTCTAATCTCTACAGTAAGAAGTTCGTTCCACTGAACACATAGCATTTGCAATCCATTGTACTCAGCTGGAACGGAGGGGAGTTTTCCCTTCTAGACCAATTCCTTGATAGCACTTTGCTCTTGCCACATTTCTAGAGGATGGCCACCTTGGACTGTCAGCCCCTTCTGCGGATGCTGTGTTCCACCTTCTCAGTACTTGTCTGCCACTACATTCGTGTCAATTACTCATCTCCCCCTAGTGAGTCATCAAATTTCCATCAGTAGGAAGGTAACAGCTTTCTCAAAAGTGTGATGAAAGGCACAGAACTTCTATTCAAAAAAGTCCATCTCTATGCATTCACACACATACAATTTGTATGTAATGCTAAGAGTTAACAGAGTCCCTGAAAAGTAGTTTTGCTGGACAACATGTTAAGTAGGCTACTTTAGTTGGCGTTTCTAATCGCATGGTCCTAAAGCTACTCCTTGTCTTTCCCCTCACTGACTGCATAGTAAGGCTTTGTGTTTTAATAAGAGGCACTTCACAAATATGAGTAATTTTATCCTGACACTTGCGAATACTCCCTTTCTCAAGAATCAGTTTGGTAAACAGGTTAAAACAAAGCTGTAAGTATTACCCAGTAACACTTTTTAAGATTTTCAAGTAGTAATCACAAGTTCATGAAACATCAGAAATAATATTAATACTATATTCTTAATAAAAGTACTACAATTCTATGTAAACATAAAAAAGATGTGATGGGAAAGAAAACCAAGAGTCAAAACCATGGAGATGACATGGTCTTGTTCTGACAGCTAGAGAGCTTTATAAGTTAATTTTCTTATCGTTGTTATCTAGAAAACAATTTGCTCCCAAGGGAAATGCAATGGAGCTTTGAATAACTGGAATAACCCACAAGAATGGTAAAATTGTGATTGAACAGAAACAATTTTGGAAATAGTCAAATTAATTCTCACTTTAAAATGATTGTCTGATAGGATAAATGATGACATTGATGAGGCACTCTACATCCCTAATGATGGGCTAGTCTCTCATTATGAGATGGTGAAACCACCCAGCACAAATACGTACTACATTTATTCTTACATCCTGCCCTCGTTATTGCTTCCCCCAACAAAGATATCTATTACTTCCATTAACACATCTTACAAGGACCAGCTCCAATCAGTCCTACATGCCTGATACCTTTTATAGATCTTCTTAAGTACTCGGGATCCAGCCAGGCAGCCAACCAGCTAGTCAGTAAGTATTCCCTAAGCTCCACTGCATTCTACTTTTCTGGGCAAGAGAGGAAACACTGGTTAACGAGGTAGGCAAAATCCCTGCTTTCATGAAACATACATTCGAGAGTGTAGTGACAGAATAAAGAAGTAAATGAATGAGATGTTCAGATAGTGATAAGTATGATCATGAAGATAAAGGTCTGTGATATTAGACAGGGAAGTCCTGGCTAAGGGGACATCGCCTCAGACAGGGAGTCATCACTGTGAAAGGAGCTGTGAGCACCAAGCTGTGCAGCACCCTCTATAAGTGCAATAAGACCTCAGGGAAGGAAAAGATCATCGTCACTTTGGATGAGGACCAGGATATTTTAACCTGAGTTTTACAAGTCCCTTCAGAACGAGTTAAACGGAAGACAAGGAAGGAAGAAAGAGAGAAGAGAGAGACGAGTAAGTCAACAGAAAAATCTGCCATGACAAACCACCCAATTACCCAAACTCCCACTCTTGCAAATAGACAGGTGTTACATGAGTTTACATTTCCCAGATCCCGTTCCTCTATTTTACTCTCTAACCACTGTTCAATTAAATAAAAATGTACTGAATTCCTTTACCTAAAAATGCTGTGTCTTATGCAGCATGGAATACAGATAAAAGATCTAAGCCCTTCAAGGAACTTATTAGGACAGTTTCGCCTCTACATAATACTTTCAAAAGCACCTAAAGCATTGATATATACTAGAACAACAAAAAAGAAAGTGTGAAAATTGAGTAGGACTGCAATGAACAAATTTAAAGACTATAATATGGGAAAAGGCAAGGAAACTGCAACATAAGTGGTAAAAAGTAAAAAAAAAAAAAAAATGAATGTCTGGAAAAACAATTTTTTTCTAAGAAACTCAGGAGGTGGGGTAGGAAGAGAAGAAAAGGTAAATAAATCCTTGTGCAGGGAGAACTTCAAGGGCAATGCTCTAGGATCTATTTGTTATTTTCCTTGACATATGAAATATTCCAGAATCTAAAGGTGAACAGAAATGAACAGGTACTGCATGACACAAATCCTAGCATTTTCCTGATTTTCTCACATATAAGAGCTTAGTAAGTATGTGTACTTCACATGTAATAGTTTGCATATAACAATATTGGTGATCCTGCCTCAAATTCCTGTCACACATTTTTCAAGCAAATATTTACAGTGGAAATGGTTAACTCCAGTTGTATTTCTGACCCAAGTTTAGCAATTATAAAGAAATATAAATATTACAAAAAGGGCAATGTGATATATATGAAATAACTGTACACGCATTTTAAAGGATATGCTAAATTCATATTTTTATACTCAGTATATGAAAGTAAAGGGAGTGCACTAAAAAAATAAAATTACAATATACTATAATTGAATGCTAACAGGGAAATTTCACATAACAAAATTATATCATTATAATTTAAAACAATTCAATTAACAGATTATTTAAGCTACTAAATCATGACTGTTTAAATATCTACTTGCATAAATGCATCCCTAACAACTTAGATAATACACATATTCTTTTAGAATTGGTTGGTGAACCCAACAATTTGACATGTTTCAACTGATAAGCACAAAAACTTAAACCATAAACAAAGTTAGAGCGTTAATAGCCCAAACTTTAGTTAAATACATTTTTATTCATTGTGCATTTTAGTTTCTGAATCCTTTCATTTTGTAAGATCTGATTAAGAAGCTCACAATTTGCCACTTTAATAAGATCTATATAAATCCATTTAATATTCAAAATGTGACTTGTTGTCAGTCCTAATTAAAGTAAACAAAGCTTTGCAATGAATGAATTTAATTACTTCGAAACTAGTATGTCTAACCAAGATGAAAAGCAAACCAGTGCAATCTAATCTCAGCAAAGAATATTTATGATTATAAGCTTTGTCAATAGCAAAGTGCACCAACTGTTCGTATATCTGACTTCCAAGAGATACATGAATGCTAATCAGTTCATTAGAGGCTTCTAGGTTGTGATATTTAGCGACAGGATGTAGTAGCTTTCTTGTCCATGGAGTATAATTGTACTCAGAATGAAAAATTGTTTCCAACAAAGCATCATCCTTCCTGTTTCTGATTTCCTGCTGGTTGCTTTTTATGAGCTGCATACCTTTCCAGAAGCCGACATCATTCAGCTTCTTGTGTCATATGAATACAAGTATGGATAGGTCCTGAGATCGTCTGCTGAGCAGGATTCTACCACCTTCCCTCTAAGCTCAGGAATTTATCTTAGTTTATAGGTTCTAGAAACCGGAGCCTCATAATTAGTATGCTCAAAGTGTATTACCAGAAACTGTATGCAGGCAAACCCTTTGCTAAAATGCGTTCTCTCTATAGGGAACAATAAAAGTACTTCAATTAACAGTGCTTAATGATTAAAATAAACTGTCACATATGAATATTTTAACATGATAAAATGATGGAGGGAAAAAAGGCTAAGAATGATGAAACTAATGTAACTCTGCAATAACAAATTTGTTTTAAAAAGCACACTTTGCCAAAGGAGAAGGTGCTGCAAGAATATTTTTTGATGGGTAAATACAGATTTCACCTTTGGTTTAAAAAAAAAAAACAACCCTTCTCAAATGTAGCGATAATGGCACACTGCCTAATAAAAGAAGAAACTGGATGAGTAGGAAAGATATGAAAGGAAACAAACACATTAGCCTGAATTGATTGTTGCTGGAGTGCATTTTTATGATATTTCCCAAAAGAGACAGTGAACAAAGCTAAAATTGAACTAATTCACAATTAAACTGAAAGCATATACAATAAAATCTATGACAAACCAAATAATAATTTTGTGATTTGCTAAATCTCAGGGGAGAAGGCACAGAAAGAGGAAAAGCAGTTATTTTATTTCAACTATCTCAGTTTAAAATATGAGGAGTGTCTATTTATAAGAGCTCATTGGAAGTGGGTTATCCTTTCATATAAAATTCTGAGGTCCATATGGGATTTTAATAATGCATTGTAGTAATACTTTATTATAACACAAAAGATATCAGTCTCTAATCTCATAGAATGGTTTGCAAAGCAACTCAACATTCATTTCAGGAAATTAAAAAAAAAAGTTTATTACTTCAATTACTCATTAGAGAATAAGCCACAAAGTTAGTGTAACCAAAGATAATCGAATTCAAAAGAAACCTTTAAATTAAGCAGGACACAAGTCTCATTTATGTATATACATAATACACACATACACACGCACATATGTATATGCACATACACTGATACTAATTTGTGTTTGGAGAAGACCTGCATGAGTAGTGATCATGGCAAATTCCATTTTGATTTTGGAACTACGCAGTATTTCTAAATATCTTTAATATTAAAGTTTCTGGAATGAGATCATTCTTTATACCAACCCTTGAAATTAAGCTGACAAGTCATACCGGTTTATAAAATCTGCATATCCTTCCTGAAACATTTCAAAAGTATCTAAATCACATCCCGATAGTAGATATCAAACTTCCTCAAACTGTGTTTTCATGTCCTTTCAATTTCTCATGAACATCACAAGGAAACAGGGCAAATGGAAGGGAAAAGAGGAGAGAAACTGTCCAAATGGATACAAAGTGAAACAAAAAAAAGAATAGAAAGCAAAGTACATTTCCGTATCATTCATGATAGGCAAACACATTGATAAATTTCCTTGCAAGAAGGCAAAGGCTAAAACTGTTATCTGGCACTGTAGGATAAGCACTGGTTATGCAAATATACCTACATCATTAAATAAATTGTAACTCTAGTTGACTAGTGAGTTATTTAGATATCAGAAGGATATGGACATCTTTGTCAGAAACTTATCATGCAAGTCCTCAGGAGGGGGAAAGGTTTCCAAATCTTTCTCAAGCTGTTGAAGCTGCCTTCCCATCTGCTTCAAATTCTTTTCCAGCGTTTCTACAGAGACTAAAAGAGAGTATATTAAATGACTTGAAAGGACAAAATTATAATATATAAAAGGTAAAACACTCTAGGAACAAAATATTTGTGAAAAACCTTCCAATAATAAAGAAAGAAAATTCACTATACTAGAGGTCAACTAAATTTCACTTTTTAAAAAGCTTTTGATATTTAAAGGCAAATATAAAGGAAATTTCATATTTTTTTAAAAAAGAAGATGGAATTTAGGAAACGCTCACATGAACAAACTACATTTAATAAGTAAGTTTTGTTGAAAATTAGAGCCCTTGACCCAACAAACACTACAAAAGAATCCATCTATTCAGAAAAAGAGGCAAAGAAAGACTTTTAAACATAAACCAATTTCAATGCAGTTTTCACATTTTTCAAAATCATGATCTCTTGAGAGGAAACAATCAGTGCATGGAAAAGACAGGGACAATAGAGCTATTGCCCAAGCTCATCTACAATAGGAATGAAAAGGTATCAGAAGCTACTTGAGCAACACATGGAACAAATATCACATCTTCTTTATTGGTACCCTGAGCACAGTCTGTGTTTATTATCTAATGACAATCTCTCTTCTTTGACTTAAAGTTGCTCTCACAGTGCACATGAAGGAACTAAGGATAGATCAGGGACCAAGGCACTATCAAAATGTATTAGTCGCCCAGTACGACGTTTAAGAATCATTACCTGAAATCTTTTTTTTTTTTTTTTTTTTTTTTAAGTTTATTTTTGAGAGAAAGAGAGACAGAGTACGACCAGGGGAGGGGCAGAGACAGAGGGAGACACAGAATCCGAAGCAGGTTCCAGGCTCTGAGCTGTCAGCAACAGCCCGACGTGGGGCTCAAACTCATGAACTGTGAGATCATGACCTGAGCCAAAGTCAGACCCTTAACTGACTGAGCCACCCAGGCACCCCCAGCATTACCTAAAATCTATGCATAATTTTAGATGACATCAAGGATTAACAATATATAAAGATATAGCGACCCAAACCAAATGTTTGGGTTCAGATGAATTTTGGTGAAAACTTCCTTTTACTTCCCATCAGTGTGAAGTATATGAAATGATGCTTAAAAATACATATAATAATTCTAGGCATACAGCCATTTTTAGGCTTCCAATTAATCCTGAGGAATGGATATAAGTCAGGTTTCACCTGTAAGAATGGGCATATCTTTGAAAGTAACCTGAATGCCCAACAAATGGGACTGAGTTAAAAAATATTTATAAATCTCTATATACAAATATACATATAAATAAATATATATGGTTGTAGTCTTAGTTCAATAAAATGGAATGGAAGGGAAGCATGAAAAATCATATTGTGTAAGAATATGGAGTTTTGTTTTTTAAACTAGCTGTATATAAAATAACATTTGTTATTCTATTCATAGCTTTTAATATAATATTCTAATATTCTGTTATATTAATAGCTGTTAATAAAACCTTAACGTATTTTGTTGCAAAATCAATTAGTGGGCTAATTTTCCGATACAATGTTTTCCAGTGAATGAATTCTTCAGAGAGCCACATGTAATGTTTGTGCTCAAAGAGCAACGATATGTTAACCTTTGGCTCCCACTGTAGTGAAGCCATTGTGAAGTTATACTGATGCATATTTTCTCATTAGTTTTTTGCCACTCATGTTTCCCCTCTCTGTCAGTCTTAAATATAAGACAATAACGCACAAGAGTACATAAAATATTTCTGTCATGACAGCACTTAGTGTATTAATTAATTCTTTCTATTTAACTCAAATACCCAAATCTTTGCTGTACATTACTCATAATGGTAACACATGGTTCCTAGGCTATGCTCTTTTAATTTTATGTCTGTTTGTCAATTATTCACAACCAAGACATCTATTTAATTAGGCCTAGGGTGTTTCATTTACTCTTCTCATTTCCAATTTTTTTTTTTTTTTTTTTTTTGCTTCTTTCAAAGTTCTCTATCTGAACTACAAGAAGAGATTCCTTTTGCTTTCCTAGTCTATTTGATCTCTCTTCTAACATTTCATTAGCATTTCCCCTATCACTTCTCAAGAAATCTTACAGGTGGTTCAGTAATTTTTATACATCCTTAAGCTGTGAAACTTCTCATTAAATAAATACAAGTTCAAAAACACATAAAATCATTTTGAGTAAATATGTGCTCAGAACAGTTTATAAACTGTATAATCACTTTGCGCTATAAATCAGATTAAAAAAAGCATATTAGCAGCATAATATTAGTCATAGTCCTAATGTGTTAGGACAGTAGCAATGGCTAAAATTTATTAAGTGTCCTGAGGTCCTTTCTGAAGTGTTTTCCATTGATTTTTAAAATCCTCAGAAGATAATCATGAAATAGATATTGTTATTATCCCATTTTACGGATCACATTTTATAGATGACTAAATCAGAGTTGAGGAAACGTCAAACAATTAAAAGTAGTGAGGTCACAATTTGAACTAAGGCAATTAAATTCTAGACTTGATTTTTAACTGTTTTGCTATACAGAAAATACTTTACTTTTACAACTACTACCTGTCAGTAACTACGTTTAAGTACACAGATGTAGTTTTCACATAATGACTTTCTTATATTCTCGCCTAGTACAATTACATATGGCCAAACCCAGGGGAATAGATGTAAGTATTCTGGGCGGATGGCTGTATGACAGATAGATATGCTACCATATTTTTTATTTTTTTTTTATTTTATTTATTTTTTATTTTTTTTTAACGTTTTTATTTATTTTTGAGACAGGGAGAGACAGAGCATGAACAGGGGAGGGTCAGAGAGAGGGAGACACAGAATCCGAAACAGGCTCCAGGCTCTGAGCCATCAGCCCAGAGCCCGACGCGGGGCTCGAACTCACGGACCGTGAGATCGTGACCTGAGCCGAAGCCGGCTGCTCAACCAACTGAGCCACCCAGGCGCCCCATGCTACCATATTTTTTAAATGAACATTTAAATTTAATGAGTTAACACACCATTGAACAAAACCACGTACTTAAAATACTATGTTTTACTCCACTAATCCAATTTATTATACATACACATATTTGGGAAATACCTAGAGAAAGGACAAGTAAGTCTAAGCTTCCAATGTAACAAAAAGCACAAGGCAAACATTGGGAGGGGACACAGATTATTTCTTTTTTTTTTTTTCCCTTGACAACTAATCCATCATTCTGTCAACTCTCAGATTCTGACACCAATTGGGTAATCTTCCACTTCAACTCTGACACTAACTACCTAGAGTTAATGCAGACCCCCACAGGCTTAAGGACTCAGCTCCAGGAGACTGCCCTCACTTCAGAAGACCATCACAAGTCCCAGGGATCACCCATCACCCACGCTTCTGACTAACTAGCTATAGATTCAGGGGTTCCCATGCCCCCCCTCCTGCTTATTTTCCATAATTTGATGTTTTACAGAATTCAAAGTACCAAACCTGCTATTACAGTTTTATTGTAAAGGACGCAATTCAGGAAGAGCCAAAGGGAAGATAAACACAAAGAACGGGGGTGGAGGGTAGTACAGAGTCTGCATGGTTTCTATGGGCAAACCCCAGCACATCAATCTGTTTCCAAAACAGAAGCTTCCCCTCAGCCTCACTGCTTCAGAGTTCTTACTGAAGCTTTGTTACACAGGCATGATTGATCAAATCATTGGCCATCAGTGACTCAAGTCTATCTCTAGTCCCTTTCCCCTCCCTGGAGGTCACAGGGTAGACTGACAATTCTAACCCTGTAATCACAGACTTGTGGCCTCTGGTGACCAGTCCCCCATCCTAAAGCTGTCTAGGGTCCTCCCCCCACATCTACCTGAGTCATCTCATTAGCATACAAAATAGGCTCTTATCACTTAAGAAATTCCAACGATTTCAGGTGCTCTATCCTAGGAATCTGGAAAATGACCAAACACATATTTTTAAATATACCATATGGATATATAGAAGTGCATGTCTGGAGAGAAGGCAGAACTCCAGTACCTGTGAGGAAGTATAAAAAAAAACAAAAACAAAAAAAAGTACATTTTGATTCATGAGCTGTGTTGCTCCCAGCTGTCTAACAGCCTGGGTCACCCTCCGAAAAGCCATCCCAATGAGTGATGAGCACTTCCCAGTGGGAAGAGAAAAAGGCTTAAGAAAGAAGCCTGTGAGCCTTTTCCAACTGTCTGTTAGCCAGCGGGTCAGCAACTATATTCTATCATTGTGATGTGGAGTCGTTCGTCACTGGCTCAACTTCCACATCAGTGAAAGGGGAAGAAGCCTATCTTCTATTTTTACCTCATGGGTATTTCATAAAAGATCAAATTGTATAACATACGATGAGGAATTTTTTTAAGAGAGTGCACTGTGCTGTGTTATTCTTAGAACTCAATAAGAAATGAAGAGCTTAAAGGCTAACATTAGTAATACTAGAATCAAAAAGTAAAGATAATCATCACCATCAGCGTCACCATTAGGCCAGAATAGTGTTGTGAAAGTCAGGCTAAAAAGAAAAGTTGCTAATTTCAAGAATACAATATTCAGAGAGTTTGGGCATATTCAAACTTTTAATGCTGATGTCATAAAGAGCAAGTCAGCGGTCTTAAGAAATGTTTCTTGCAGCTTCTCTACAGATGGAAAGCCATTATTTATGCTTTATTAGCAGTCTCTGGTTACATTATTTGTACATTATGGCTAAGAGGATTTAAGTATAAGTGACCAACTTTCACTGGTTTTTAAATAAGGACCAAAGTACACTTGCAAGAGAAAAAGATGTGAGCAAATTCTAGGCTTAAAAAAAAACAAACAACAACAACAACAAAACCATAATGTCTGGGCCATCCGATGGGTAAAACTAAAGAATATGTAAGAATTTCTTTCATGTCTTTCTTTTTCAGCAATTCTATTTCCACAGATAATTCCTTTACACATCCTCAAACATAATTTTAACCACACTGTTCATAAGTGTCAAGTTTTTTTGAGGTCAGTGACTATATTTTTATATTAGAAATCCCAGCTAC